CCTAGAGACAATCTTAGGTGTATAAGTTATTATCCTTCAACAATGAAACTTTTCCCTTTTGAATTCTTAATACCAAATCATAATCCGACAAGTAATAGAACTGACAATGTAATTGTACTTATTGTCACACACTATGTTTACAAAACTAGATGTCTACACAAAAGGCTTAGTATAAACAAACTTGTAAACAACACAAATGATACTTTACTGTACAAAACTCTACAGTGAACAGTTAAGATAGTGAGGAAAAAAACAAAATTTGTAAATGAGAGGAAGATCATGAAGACTAATGTTAACACTTATTGATTATGTCTCTGAAACTCCTCGTCATATTTTGATAACAGTATTCCCTAAACCAAAAAGTACACTGTCTTAATATTTAGTTGTAGCAACAAGAAATTGTTTGTATTTTTCAAAATAGCTTTTAAAATAAACCAGATTTTTTTCTCCTTTTTCTTCTTCTATCTCCCCGCTCTACGTACGTACCTACATATATCTGTGAGGAAATGTATAACGTCAGCGGGTTCGGGTGAGGTTTGGCTATAGTATGTTACGGATGAATAGAAAAAAAAATTATATAAGGTAAAATATAGAGAGCGCTTTAGGGTATTGTGTGTGGTAATTCAACCCTAACAAGCTTTAAACTTTAAACAGAGGGTGGCTTGAACTTCATTAACCACAATACATTTACCGCACCCCGCAGGGAGAACTGCCGATCCGTTAAAGGGATTAACGTGATTTTGACCGACAAAAATATCGTTTTAAGCTTTCAGGTGGAAATAAAATCATACTTAAAATCTTAAATAATTCAAATTAATTTAACAAACATATACTTTAATGGTTTGAAACGCATATAATAAATATCTCGTTGAAAAATTACAATTTCAACCATTCAACTTAGAGCACGTTTGTTCTCCAGTGTACCTGATTTCCGGTTTAACCTTCGGGAACTTTCGTTTGTTACCCTCAAAGCCACTTTACATAATGTCAGGATAAGGACATGTTCTCAAGTAATGCCTTCATTAAAACTTCATTTTGTACGTCAGTATCAAAGAACCTGTTTTAACAAGTTTCGGCTAAATGTGTTTTTATAGGCCTCTTTATCTGTAGGCGTTAGTCTTTTAATCAGTTAGCGTAAGAATTTGTTTCCGTTGTTTCTGAACGAAGTGTTTTTACTGTCTGTACTGAAGCATTACCCGATTGTGGAACAATATCTCAGTGAAAGCCAAGCTATTGTTGATAGGTTGCAACAGGTGCGTTGACACAGTTAGGCGAGATCCCATTGGTCAGTGGCCGAAATGCTACTCAATGTCATATGAAAAATAGAATTGGATTGGTTAAGAGACATTTCGAGAATTCTTTACCAGTAGTGTCAACGGCTGTTCTTGTCACTTTCGAACATGACGCCGATGAATAAAGACAAATAAGAATTCTCGTTATTGTCTTAAGGTAGGAACTTTCCGTTTTTGTCATTTTTTTTATATTTTTGATGGTTTTAAGATATATACTTAGTTTTCATTTGTCCTTTTATTCAGGTTTATCTAAATAAGTACGTTTGCTTTTCATAAAAGTTAGCTTGAGTCAATTTAGCTTTATTTTCATTAAAGTCTCGTTTAAAGTTATATTTCACAGTGGAAAGTCCACTAATAGTATTGGGCTTTGTAGCGTTTGTTTTATAATGGACTTTGCTTTAAACTTTTCTGTATCGTATGATTTTATGAATTTTTAGTTATTAAATACATCTTATTAGCTTCGGGTGAAAATATATATTGCAAAGTACCTTTTAGGTAACTAAATAGCTAATCCTATCAGATTGCAATCTTGAAATTTATTTTATTTTGTTTTTCATTCATATGAGCTTTTTTAATTTATTTTCATTCCGGATATTTCGACCAGTATCGTATTTCGTATTTATGAATATATTTTCCGGAAACTTAGTATCCGCCTACCTTAGTTTACGTGACATTGGTGCACTAAGAGCTAATTCACCCGTGTCACAATTTCATTTAAATACATATGTATATTGATTTTCTGACTTATTATGTATAACAGAACAGTCTCAGCAGTGTTTACGATTTTAAAACTGAATGTTCTAAAGCATTTTATGATTTGTTAATTGACAGAACGAAAAACTCTCAATAAGAAAGAGAAAAGAAATAGGCAGATGAGAGCATTCTGTTTTAAATAATGAAAACTGATTTAACATATAGCACAGCCTTCACAAATGCGACTAACACTAAATTGTCTTCCATCACATTTTGACTCTAAACTCATTTCCTTTTTAAAGCAGAGATAACAGATAGTCCTCTCGACAATCGCTGTAACTCTGAAACGGATACTCTTGTACATTTATTTTGGATATGTTATCAGAGACGTTATTCATACATTTTCTGTTACCATGAAAACAGATAACCCTCTACACAAATTTCGGTTTTTCTGGGCCAGTGCTCTGAAACCAATTGTGTTTTTTCCGTTTTATCAGTGGAGCGCGGGGATAATGTCACGCTTTGCGTTGTCTTGTCGTCTTTTGTTCTTCTTTGTTTGTCTTCATGTTGTATGATTGGATGTGTATGACTTATTTACATAGGGAAACTTTATTATAACAACTTATAAAAATCACACCTGTTGAAAGCATGCGAGGGATCTCTGGGAGGAAACCCGTATCCCTTCAGGGAATCGAACCCCGGACGGCTAGCCGAAAGACAAGTGTCTTGCAACTGTGCCACCAAACTACCACCTGATCATGATGATGCATTGTTTTCTAGAAGAAGTAGAAGAAGAAGAAGAAGAAGAAGATGATGATGATGATGATGATGATGATGACGACGACGACGACGACGACGCTTTTAGGCAGTGCCTATTTCATATTCTTATCATTTGTTAACCAACTTGCACTCGCTTTTAGGCAGTGCCTATTTCATATTCTTATCATTTGTTAACCAACTTGCACTCGCTTTTAGGCAGTGCCTATTTCATATTCTTATCATTTGTTAACCAACTTGCACTCGCTTTTAGGCAGTGCCTATTTCATATTCTTATCATTTGTTAACCAACTTGCACTCGCTTTTAGGCAGTGCCTATTTCATATTCTTATCATTTGTTAACCAACTTGCACTCGCTTTTAGGCAGTGCCTATTTCATATTCTTATCATTTGTTAACCAACTTGCACTCGCTTTTAGGCAGTGCCTATTTCATATTCTTATCATGTTAGAGCATATTGGTTAAACTACATGGTTGGCTTTGTATTTGTCCTAGAACCAATTATTTGACTAAGATTCACAATTTACCATATGGAAGTGTGATTGTTTACCCATATAGCTTCACATGATGGGTAGATGATAAGAGCACCACCTAGACCCTGCAACTAGGAGACAAACAGACAGTGGCGTCAGGACCGAACAGCATTATATACTAACGGAAAAAAGAAACGCAAGTTTTTGTCCGGTGGTAAATATTTCAAATGTTTAATGGATGATCATATCATCGTTATGCTGTTTATATTAATTCCTCATTACTGATTAAAATTGGATAAGTTCTGTTGTCTTAACACAGACGGCGTTGGCATGGATAGCGTTTAAACGTGGATACCCTACGCCATTTCCGAGAAACAGGAGAACACGGGTGTGTTCCCTTTACGCCAACTTTCTCAAAAACACATATGGCAGTTGGTGTTGTTTTTACCATTTAAGTCAAAAAAATTGGGGTACCTCATGGGGGCTCTGGGGCTACTGTGGAGTAGTTACCTGTGACTTGATAATATTTAGCCATAAATGGGGATATTTTCAGATTTTGAATTGAGAATTAAATTGAAATGTTAAATGGTATATTATTTAAATTTAACGAGAAAAAAGAATTATTTGAAATTTATATTGTTCAATAAAAAAAAAGGATTATTTGAAAATTATATTATTTAACAATAGAAAAAAAACATTATTACTTATCACACTGAACAGTCCAAGCCAACTGCACTCTGTATAAATACAGCGACTGCATCATACTTTATATTCATACTTTCACACCATTTATTGTTATATTTAGTTGTTTTAACTACTGTAGCACAGATTATAACTGATGATGAGAAGTACAAGCTGATAACCTGAATACTTATCACACTGAATACTCCAAGCCAACTGTACTCTGTATAAATACAGCGACTGCATCATACTTTATATTCATACTTTCACACCATTTATTGTTATATTTAGTTGTTTAAACTACTGTAGCACAGATTATAACTGATGATAAGTCCAAGCTGATAACCTGAATACTTGTCACACTGAACACTCCAAGCCAACTGCACTCTGTATAAATACAGCGACTGCATCATACTTTAAATTTATAGTGAAACACTCATATCAAGTAACATGGCAAAAGCACAGCTGAATTTGAAGTTCGTAATTAACAAGAAAGGGGGCCAGAATTTAGCCTATAATGGTTTCATCTACAGAATCATACGCAGAAATGGTGAAAAATCTTGTCGAGGATCCCTCTCTGCCCTTAACAACATACCAGTTGCTTTTGGAAAACAGGAACACAACCATCCAGCAGATCATGCAGAAGTTGTAGCACAGCAGATCAGAAACAGCATCACCAAGTGATATCTTGAAGAAGTCGGACCCATACCAGCAATATACGGAGAAGAACTCCGCAAGCTCCGAGATGAAGAATGGGATGAAGACTGCAAAGCGGTGGTACAGCGACTGCCTACCTTCAATACAGCCAAGTCGTCACTCTACAGAGCCCGCCGAAAGGAAACCCCAGCGCTACCAAAGACTCTTTCTGACATCAGACTGGAAGGGAAGTGGACAGAAACATCAACCGGAGACAGATTTCTTCTTTTTGACGACGGAGACAGTAGAACCGAATTATAGCCTTCGCCACTACGGAGAACCTACGATTTCTCTCAACTGCCGACACATTCTACTGTGATGGAACATTTTACACGTGCCCGAGCTTGTGTCATCAGATATACAGCATCCGTGTGGTTATTGATGGAAGGATGACGCCAGTCGTATTTGCGCTACTACCAGGAAAGAGTCAAAGAATCTACACTCGACTGTTTACCCTACTCAAGGAACACATGACTCAACTGTACCTGCATTTCGCCCCAACCCATGCATTCGCCGACTTTGAAGTAGCAGTACACAACGCCATTCGCCAGACATTCCCAGGAATCACCATGAAAGGCTGTTTTTTCCATTTCATACAGAGTGTATGGCAAAAAGCACAGACAACTGGACTGCAAACTCTATACCGGGACAACGAAGATGTTAGGGCCCTTATCCGCCGTGCAGCTGTTCTACCACTGGTACCCATGGACTGCATAGAAGACGTATGGTTACAGACACTAGAAGATCTAGAAGACGCTGAAGTACCACAGAACACAACACCTTTCACAGACTATGTTACAGAGCAGTGGGTGGAAGGAGACAGACCGTTGTGGAATCACTTCCAAACAGATGGACCACGAACTACAAACAACCTAGAAGCCTTGCACGGGAAACTAAAGAAGAAGGTGAAACACGCTCATCCGAATATATTTGCCATCATACAGACATTCAAGGAAATAGACAATGCCGACGTCATCAACAGAATGCAGAGAGAAGCTGGAGGAACCACCCGACCGCGTGCGAAGAAGTACTGCAACATTGACCCCCGCCTTACAACACTCAAAGAAAGATACGGAAACGGAACCATTGACCTGATGACCTACGCTGATTCAGCATCACATCTACTTTATCTTGGATATTAATTAGTGCTACATACGTGTTTATGAACATTCTAATAATTAGTGCTGTTAGGTATTTAATTTATGAAAATAGTGCTTGTATATCAAATATTGAAAATTGAAAATCAATTAATAAAATTTAGTTTAGTATGTATATGTTGAATTTAGTGCTACATTATAAAACAAAAAATAAAAAAATGATTTCTATGCTTAATTTAAATGATAATATGCTTATTAATGTTTATTAATTGTAATCTTCATATGGTCTATCATTAAACAGTTTATACATCTGGTGGTAGTGAGGAGGTATATGTGTAAATCTACTGACAGTTTATACATCTGGTGGTAGGGAGGAGGTATATGTGTAAATCTACAGACAGTTTATACATCTGGTGGTAGGGAGGAGGTATATGTGTAAATCTACAGACAGTTTATACATCTGGTGGTAGGGAGGAGGTATATGTGTAAATCTACAGACAGTTTATACATCTGGTGGTAGTGAGGAGGTATATGTGTAAATCTACTGACAGTTTATACATCTGGTGGTAGGGAGGAGGTATATGTGTAAATCTACATACCGTTTACACATCTGGTGGTAGGGAGGAGGTATATGTGTAAATCTACAGACAGTTTATACATCTGGTGGTAGGGAGGAGGTATATGTGTAAATCTACTGACAGTTTATACATCTGGTGGTAGGGAGGAGGTATATGTGTAAATCTACAGACAGTTTATACATCTGGTGGTAGTGAGGAGGTATATGTGTAAATCTACATACCGTTTACACATCTGGTGGTAGGGAGGAGGTATATGTGTAAATCTACAGACAGTTTATACTACAGACAGTTTATACATCTGGTGGTAGGGAGGAGGTATGTGTAAATCTACAGACAGTTTATACATCTGGTGGTAGGGAGGAGGTATATGTGTAAATCTACATACCGTTTATACATCTGGTGGTAGGGAGGAGGTATATGTGTAAATCTACATACCGTTTATACGTCTGGTAGCAGGGAGGGGATATATGTGTAAATCTACATACCGTTTACACATCTGGTGGTAGGGAGGAGGTATATGTGTAAATCTACAGACAGTTTATACATCTGGTGGTAAGGAGGAGGTATATGTGTAAATCTACTGACAGTTTATACATCTGGTGGTAGTGAGGAGGTATATGTGTAAATCTACTGACAGTTTATACATCTGGTGGTAGTGAGGAGGTATATGTGTAAATCTACAGACAGTTGATACATCTGGTGGTAGGGAGGAGGTATATGTGTAAATCTACAGACAGTTTATACATCTGGTGGTAGGGAGGAGGTATATGTGTAAATCTACTGACAGTTTATACATCTGGTGGTAGTGAGGAGGTATATGTGTAAATCTACAGACAGTTGATACATCTGGTGGTAGGGAGGAGGTATATGTGTAAATCTACTGACAGTTTATACATCTGGTGGTAGGGAGGAGGTATATGTGTAAATCTACAGACAGTTTATACATCTGGTGGTAGGGAGGAGGTATATGTGTAAATCTACTGACAGTTTATACATCTGGTGGTAGGGAGGAGGTATATGTGTAAATCTACAGACAGTTTATACATCTGGTGGTAGGGAGGAGGTATATGTGTTATATGTTTAAATCTACATACAGTTTATACATCTGGTGGTAGGGAGGAGGTATATGTGTAAATCTACAGACAGTTTATACATCTGGTGGTAGGGAGGAGGTATATGTGTAAATCTACAGACAGTTTATACATCTGGTGGTAGGGAGGAGGTATATGTGTAAATCTACAGACAGTTTATACATCTGGTGGTAGGGAGGAGGTATATGTGTAAATCTACAGACAGTTTATACATCTGGTGGTAGGGAGGAGGTATATGTGTAAATCTACAGACAGTTTATACATCTGTGTAAATATATGTGTAAATCTACATACCGTTTACACATCTGGTGGTAGGGAGGTGGTATATGTGTAAATCTACAGACAGTTTATACATCTGGTGGTAAGGAGGAGGTATATGTGTAAATCTACATACCGTTTATACATCTGGTGGTAGGGAGGAGGTATATGTGTAAATCTACATACCGTTTACACATCTGGTGGTAGGGAGGAGGTATATGTGTAAATCTACAGACAGTTGATACATCTGGTGGAAGTGAGGAGGTATATGTGTAAATCTACAGACAGTTGATACATCTTGTGGTAGTGAGGAGGTATATGTGTAAATCTACATACCGTTTATACGTCTGGTCGTAGGGAGGGGATATATGTGTAAATCTACATACCGTTTACACATCTGGTGGTAGGGAGGAGGTATATGTGTAAATCTACAGACAGTTTATCCATCTGGTCGTAGGGAGGGGATATATGTGTAAATCTACATACCGTTTACACATCTGGTGGTAGGGAGGAGGTATATGTGTAAATCTACAGACAGTTTATACATCTGGTGGTAGGGAGGAGGTATATGTGTAAATCTACAGACAGTTTATACATCTGGTGGTAGTGAGTAGGTATATGTGTAAAACTACTGACAGTTTATACATCTGGTGGTAAGGAGGAGGTATATGTGTAAATCTACTGACAGTTTATACATCTGGTGGTAGTGAGGAGGTATATGTGTAAATCTACATACCGTTTATACGTCTGGTCGTAGGGAGGGGATATATGTGTAAATCTACATACCGTTTACACATCTGGTGGTAGGGAGGAGGTATATGTGTAAATCTACAGACAGTTTATACATCTGGTGGTAGTGAGGAGGTATATGTGTAAATCTACAGACAGTTTATACATCTGGTGGTAGGGAGGAGGTATATGTGTAAATCTACAGACAGTTTATACATCTGGTGGTAGGGAGGAGGTATATGTGTAAATCTACAGACAGTTTATACATCTGGTGGTAGGGAGGAGGTATATGTGTAAATCTACAGACAGTTTATACATCTGGTGGTAGGGAGGAGGTATATGTGTAAATCTACAGACAGTTTATACATCTGGTGGTAGGGAGGAGGTATATGTGTAAATCTACAGTTTATACATCTGGTGGTAGGGAGGAGGTATATGTGTAAATCTACAGACTACAGACATCTATATGTGTAAATCTACATACCGTTTACACATCTGGTGGTAGGGAGGAGGTATATGTGTAAATCTACAGACAGTTTATACATCTGGTGGTAGGGAGGAGGTATATGTGTAAATCTACTGACAGTTTATACATCTGGTGGTAGGGAGGAGGTATATGTGTAAATCTACAGACAGTTTATACATCTGGTGGTAGGGAGGAGGTATATGTGTAAATCTACAGACAGTTGATACATCTGGTGGTAGGGAGGAGGTATATGTGTAAAACTACTGACAGTTTATACATCTGGTGGTAGGGAGGAGGTATATGTGTAAATCTACAGACAGTTTATACATCTGGTGGTAGGGAGGAGGTATATGTGTAAATCTACAGACAGTTTATACATCTGGTGGTAGGGAGGAGGTATATGTGTAAATCTACATACAGTTGATACATCTGGTGGTAGGGAGGAGGTATATGTGTAAATCTACAGACAGTTTATACATCTGGTGGTAGGGAGGAGGTATATGTGTAAATCTACAGACAGTTTATACATCTGGTGGTAGTGAGTAGGTATATGTGTAAATCTACAGACAGTTTATACATCTGGTGGTAGGGAGGAGGTATATGTGTAAATCTACTGACAGTTTATACATCTGGTGGTAGGGAGGAGGTATATGTGTAAATCTACAGACAGTTTATACATCTGGTGGTAGGGAGGAGGTATATGTGTAAATCTACAGACAGTTTATACATCTGGTGGTAGGGAGGAGGTATATGTGTAAATCTACAGACAGTTGATACATCTGGTGGTAGTGAGGAGGTATATGTGTAAATCTACAGACAGTTGATACATCTGGTGGTAGGGAGGAGGTATATGTATAAATCTACATACCGTTTATACGTCTGGTCGTAGGGAGGGGATATATGTGTAAATCTACATACCGTTTACACATCTGGTGGTAGGGAGGAGGTATATGTGTAAATCTACAGACAGTTTATACATCTGGTGGTAGGGAGGAGGTATATGTGTAAAGGTATATGTGTAAATCTACAGACAGTTTATACATCTGGTGGTAGTGAGGAGGTATATGTGTAAATCTACTGACAGTTTATACATCTGGTGGTAGGGAGGAGGTATATGTGTAAATCTACAGAGAGTTGATACATCTGGTGGTAGGGAGAAGGTATATGTGTAAATCTACATACCGTTTATACGTCTGGTAGCAGGGAGGGGATATATGTGTAAATCTACATACCGTTTACACATCTGGTGGTAGGGAGGAGGTATATGTGTAAATCTACAGACAGTTTATCCATCTGGTCGTAGGGAGGGGATATATGTGTAAATCTACATACAGTTTATACATCTGGTGGTAAGGATGAGGTATATGTGTTAATCTACTAACAGTTTATACATCTGGTGGTAGTGAGGAGGTATATGTGTAAATCTACAGACAGTTGATACATCTGGTGGTAGGGAGGAGGTATATGTATAAATCTACATACCGTTTATACGTCTGGTCGTAGGGAGGGGATATATGTGTAAATCTACATACCGTTTACACATCTGGTGGTAGGGAGGAGGTATATGTATAAATCTACAGACAGTTTATACCTCTGGTGGTAGTGAGGAGGTATATGTGTAAATCTACAAAGTAACTTACATCATTATCGCTATTTATAATGTAACCTGAACATGAACTATTTATATTTCAGCCTGTGAAGAAGTAAAGGTTTATGTGGGCACCGTATTGACATTATTTTATAACATGTAATCTGACGCCGGATTCTGCATAGAAAGTCTAGGTCACATGTCATTTTTATTATGTACCCCACTGAAATGATGTAGTGCTTCACACAGTATATCGGCTCAGCGATCTTTAAATGGGTTACTTATCAAGAATGAATTATGTAAATTGGGTTTTAACTATATTTGGGTAAGTCAGC